GCCGAAGGCGTTGCATTGACAATAGTGTCCTCAATAAAATGATGCTGTAATTTTATTAGTACAATTTAGATTGAAAAGAAACCTTTAAAGATTAAATTTAAAGAGAAAATTGGAATACTTCCAAAAAGTCCTTATTTAAGACATAAGTACCAGAAGCGAGTGCATTAGTTGGAATTGATCACAATGATGGTGATTTACTGAGTAAAATATACGACGACAGCCAAAGGTATGATGTTTTTAATGTGTGTAATATTTTATACTCCCAGTGATATGTTCCCTTATTTCGTACACCAACATCTTGTAAACTACGATTGACCACAAACCGTGAAATTGGTTGTAAAAGAGTTCCCCAGTGTCACTGAATGAAATCACTTAGAAAAAAAATGATTCTGTTTGTTACTTGCACATATGGTTATTGATATCCTTTATCTTACTCACGCACAGTCCATAAGACACTCGTTGTTGTACGTCCTTCCGTCCGTCCCGCAGACTGGTTTGAGAATACGGGAACACAAACATTGAGGTGGCTCGGTCGGACATGTGCCATCGGAGAGAAGCTCTACGCCGCTGTAAGAAAACAATAACATTTTTTTCCAACATGTGATGAAATTTATTTGTAAAAATCAGATGTTTTGCAAAAGTATATAACTGTCATAATAATGCGATGGAATATATCATCAGGATGAAAGTTTGACAGAAAAAACAAGTACTTATTGTAATGGGGGACCATTACAGATGTCCCCTAAACTGCCCCCATAGTCGCAAATATGCATCAGAAAATGATCGCATTGCCATAGTACACCTACAATGTGCATACTAAATTTGAGTGAAATTGAGCAATTTCTAAATTGCAACCAATTAGAAGGCTCTGTGTGGTTGCTTTTGAAACGAAACGTATGCGATCGAATTTGCAGTTCCTAATACCCCTATATAACAATTTTCATCGAATTGAACAATATCTAAATTGAGACCAATTGTATTATTTGGAATGTATCACAAGGATTGTGAATTATTGAGTAAATGACGACAGTCGAATGATGATGTCTTAAATGTGTGCAACATTTTCAAACTCAATCTTTTACGCAACCACATTGCTTCATTATTTCTAGTTGACCAAAAACAAATAAAAAGGAATAACACAAACGGTTGTTTAAAACAGGTTGATATTCAGAACAGAACTTTAATCGAAAGTATTGATTTACGAGACGGGTAGCTAAAGTGTGTTGTCATCAATGTCCCTGGAACATCGAAACACTAATCTTTAACTCAAACACAACCAAATTAACATACGCCAATCTCATATGAACTTTAGACAGAATCTTTACTCGTGTCAAAATTGGGGATTATTCATTACCGTAAAGTATTGATGTTATTTGACACTTACGCACAATCCAGATTACATTTGTTGTCGTACGTTGTGCCGTCCTTACCACACACAGGGACATATTCCAAAGTACAGATGCACGGTTTTGGACATTCACCGTCTGAGGCTTTTTCCACGTTTCTTTGAATTGAAAACATGAGCGACTTTAATAATGTTAGCAAAATTTAGCGTTTGATATATTCTCCTGATTTGTAATATTTTAAATCAACACTGCCGTTTTTGGTTTATGTTAATGCTTTTACGATTTAAGGGGGAAACCCGAACTGCTATTTTCATAATAAGCGATACCGGAATGTTATCGATGCATTTTAGATTTTAAGTAAAAGTTAATGCTTAAAATTTGTAATTGATGAAATGAGCGTCTGGAGAGTAAAAAACTAAAATGATTTATATGAAAGAGAAAAATGGAGTTCTAACACACTTTTCATATTGAAAACATCATTTGCTGTAACGAGTGTATTATTTGGAATGTAGCACAGGATGGCGAATAACTGAGTAAAATAAATGACAAAAGCCGAATATTTCAAATCCGAGTGATATACTAGTATTCCGCTATTACATAACCTTAAATTTTTATTAACTGCACTTGACCCCATCAAAACAATTAAAACAAATTCGTGTCGTTTAAAATGCGTGGTTTTCAGAACAAAATATAAACCCAAAGTATTATTTGTAGACGAGAAACTAAATAATGTTGTCTTGAATTTCGCTTGAACACCGAAACACTAATTTATAACTCAAATTGACCAACAATGGTAAACTTAATATAGCCTGATGGAATATATCGCAGGGAGAAGAGAATGACAGATATGATAATAATATTTCCTGATCCGTGTGATGTACATACATGTACAACAGTTCGGAAAACTGATACTGTGGAATGAAGGATTTCCCTGAAAACAAAGAAACATTTAATTGGTGTTCCTGGCGGTCAACGATAGTAACCTAAAACATCCCAGTTGTTACAGTACATCTCAAAATGACCATTTATTGTTTCATAAAAAGGTTATTCAAGTTTGTGCGAGTAATGATGACATCTGAAACTTCCATTATTATTATAACATTTGTTGTCTGGGTTATACCGCCCCTACCACACACAGGCACATACATTTTTCCAATGTACACGCACATTAATGCATTATTCTGAGATGATACTTTGATTTGTTGTGATTTTCTCGCACCAGACGGATACAAATATCAATCAAATCATTCTCATGCTGCTCAATTTCCACCCAGAATATTGCATTCTAGAATAGAATAACAATGGTAATGACCTCAGAAATTGTGAGGTTTACGACAAAACACTCTTTAGTATAACAGCGTATGCAAAGTTTGAATGGGAATACGTTTCGTTCCGCCTGTGTGAGTTCAAACCCCTTTTTTATGAAATTATTTCAACGCCATTTGTACGCAGAAGTTCCTATAAGAAACGTGTGTGTATAAAAATGCGCGCGCGGTTATTGCTCTCATTTACATTTATTACATGAATATTTACCTACAAAAAGCCAATACAAACCTGATATGCTCAAATGCCTTTTCATATCTCCTAGATATATGTTAAGGTATTGTCAAAAAGAACCAATATTGATACATATAATTTGTGACTCCTGGTAACAAAAAAAAATAATTCCCGAGATTAACATGTAACAAACCTTACTTTGTGTCGATATAACGATTATTTTCTGTCTATAAGAGTGTTGATGACATCGAAATCTTACGCACAGTCCATATAACATATCTTGCTGTGCATAATGCCGTCCTCATACACCCACACAGGGACATATGTATTTGATAGCAGAAGCACCAGCTCTCCGATTTATGAATTGGTTACATTTCTTTGAATTGAATATATACTATTTTCCATATGTTTGATAATTTTAAATCATCCTAGATGTTCAGTTACAACAACTAGTTGTATTGTTGTTTTGTGGTCTTAATATCCTTATTTTGACATCGAACCCGATACAATCGGATAAGTGTGTCCCTTTAAATGTTTAGCGGTTGAATTGTGAGTTTTATCACATTATAAATCTTTCTGTTTTTGCTCTGTTGAAATATTTTAATCAAACCATGAGAAGGTACTAAGTAAGTGTATAACATTCTCTCTAGTACTCACGCACACGCCAGCAGACATTTGTTGTCATACGAGTTTCCGTCAGTGCCACAGACTGGTGACAGGTTACGAGGACATCTACAGACAGGCGGTCTGGCTCCACAAATTCCATCTCGTATTTTTAACATACCGCTATGAAATCAAAATAAACGGATTTAATTCAGTGATTCATATCTCTTTTGATAGACATATTCTGTCTCAAATATCCATCCCATTGCTATTTAACTGAATTTAGCGATTTAAACCATAAAAAAAACCTAATTCAAACTAAAGATCACCTCGGTCCCAGGTGGAAAACTCATTCATACTTAGTAAAACCGTAAGTGCGATTTCCACCTGGGACCGAGGATGATAAAAGTGGTATGCTTTCTTGATAATATGCTATATTATTCTTATGTATTTCAGAATCTAGTTTAGTGTTCTAGAGTAAGAAGCTATGTGTTAAATGATTAAAGGGACTTAATGGTAAAAATCACTGTTTAAAAAAATGATTAATGGACATATTTTTAAAAGGTACATGAGAACGCATTTTAACAATCTTGCTAAATCATTAGTTTAACCTTTCAACTTTAAAACGGTTAACACTAGCACATTTTATATGTATAATTAAGCATACAGGGAATATCCTAAATTTTAGAACTAAGTTTATAGTTTAGTTTAAACTTTCTTTTATTCAAGTATTTCAAGTATATACATATATATGCAATATATATATATATAACATTTTTTAACAAAACACAAAATAGGAAATAGAAACAAGTGTCTTAGACACTTATGTAAATCTATCACCTTATGTAAATCTATCACCTTTTGTAAATCTATCACCTTAGATCTAGATCATCTAGAACTAAGTTTGTTGCAGTACATGTGTAAGATTGTTTAGTTGAGAAGGTGTGTTTTACATTGGGAAAGGATGCTACATATACATTGCAAAGCAGAGCATGGGAATAGTCACTCACGCTCTCCTCAGAGTGCAGATGTCACGGTAAGTCCTGCCATCCATCCCACAAACGGGAGTCGACCCTATGCTGCACCATGGTCTGTAGCTCGGCCTTACCCTACAGGAACCACGGTGCACTACCTGGGTACCACTGCAAAAGTGTATGACAAATTCGTAGAATCATAATGGAGAAAAAAACCATTTCATTTGCAGACAGTGTATCGCGTTTATGCTGAAGAAATAATACTTTGTAAACATTCAAATTAAGCGAGTACTTATGACTAAAATTTTGCGAGTATATATATTTATAACATATCTTTGCAAGTACTTCTCATTTAACGAGAATTATTCATACTCATCTTTTTGAGTACTGACAATGTAAAATTTCGCAAGTAGTTACAGCTCAGTTTTCGTGGAAAAAAACTTTGTTTGCTATGAAGATCGAACCAGTTTATTTGGATTAAACTGAGAAGATGTACAATAACGTTATAGTTATAACAGTTAAGTTAACAGTATTAAGGTTAAAGTGTGAATATGCTAGAAGGTGACAATATATCATTTATCATAACTGATACAGTGAAAACAGACTGTCATTTTGTTTTTGATTACATTAAAACAACATCTCATTAAAGATATACCCACGCGCAGCGTGCTTGGCAAACATTCCTGTATGTTCTTCCGTCAGTACCGCATGCTAAACGTAACTCGTTCGGGCAGTTACACGTGGGCCTGCCGAACGCTAAAATCGTTTGGAACAGGAAGGTGTAACGAACAAAAGTAGCTAATTAATAAAAGGTATATTGGTCTCTATTCAAACAAAGTCAGCACATTAGTACTAAATGTGTTGCATCCTTTATGAGTTGTTTTGTTTATGAAATTCAGTGAAATTCAAAATTCTTTACATTACATATGAAATAATCAAAGCAGTAAAATTGATGAGAACAAATCTAATTGAATTCTATCACATGATGATTACGTTTTATAATTATTCATTACAAAGACACAAATATGTAGATATATATATATATATATATAAATCAGTGCATAATAGTTGTTATATTTTCTCTCTAGAAGAGATTTCATTCGAAACGATCAATACTTGTGGAGTAGGATTTGGTAATTTGAAACACTGTCAAGTGCCGAAATCAATCCTCAGCAATTTTAAACATTGATGTAAAGCTTCCTTTAGATCTATATTATATATATTGATACAATAAAATATGTCTTACCCGCTACTGTCAGCCAACCAATTAGCAAGAACAGCGTTAAACAAGCCATGACGATAGCTCCGACGTCTCTGCGTGTCCTGATGAACTGGGAGGACTTTATACTACAGTCGATCCTAAAATGTTAATCGTTTGGTCTAGTGACGTATTCGATTTACAAGGATTCGTTACTTTTATTGCAAAATGGCTTTCAAAAACGAGAATTTATGATTCAAAATGTATAAAAAAAGTCTTAAAATCAAGGAAGATATAAAATCATTTGACGCGATGAATAACAACGAAGCATATAAAGTAATGAACTTCTTTGTGGTCTCTCAAGATTATTTTTATTACTTTGAAATTCGTTTGAAGTTGGCGGCAGGGGTTTTTCGGCGGCTTAGAAACTAAAAGTTTTATAACATAACTTTACCGATATGTTTACCGAGCGAGTTGATTCTGTCCACGTGGCATCTCTACCCGGTACGACTTCTGAGTATTTATGGGTAGTATTCGCAAATGTATTTTATTAACGAGCAAAAGTTTTAATCATAAACTAATTTTTAAAAATGAAATTGCTACTGGTTAACAACTGAGTTGTGTGTAAACGTATGCAGTCGGACCTGGTTCTCCGGAAAGACTCACATTCCGGTCAAGGCTGAAATTTCTAAGTCAGTAGTTCCAACAATGTTCACGCGGTTTTAGCGTTAAAGATCCAAACTAGCTATATAAGGGAACAAAGTGTCTCAAATGATATTGTAGCGTCTTGTTGACTTCGAGGATTAAAGGGCTGCGGTGGCCATGTGGTTATAGCTTCCACTAGCCCTCCACCATTGGGTCGCGGATTCGAGGCCTACGTGGGGCAGTCGTAGGTCGGTGGTTTTTCTCCGGGAACTCCGGCTTCCCTCCACCACCAAAACCGGGCACGTCCTTAATGACCACAGCTGTTAATAGACGTTAATCACAAACAAACAAAAAAAACCCTGAAGGATTTAATGTCTCAATGGCTTTTTGTATTCAGTTTAGTTTATACCTAAAGGATTCGGCTTGTCTCGTTGGCTTTGTGTATTCAGCTTAGTTTATATTTAATGGATGATTTAGCTATGTCTCATTGCCTTTGTGTATTCAGTTTAGTTTATACCTAAAGGATTTGGTTTTGTCTCATTGCCTTTGTGTATTGAGCTGCGTCTCATTGGCTTTGTGGATTTGGTTTTGTCTCATTGGCTTTGTGTATTCAGTTTAGTTTATACCTAAAGGATTTGGCTTTGTCTCATTGCCTTTGTGTATTGAGCTGCGTCTCATTGGCTTTGTGGATTTGGTTTTGTCTCATTGCCTTTGTGTATTCAGTTAAGTTTATACCTGAAGGATTGAGCTGCGTCTCATTGGCTTTGTGTATTGAGCTGCGTCTCATTGGCTTTGTGTATTCAGTTTAGCTTATACCTAAAGGATTTGGCTTTGTCTCGTTGGCTTTGTGTATTTAGCTTCCTCTCAATGGCTTTGTGAATTTAGCTTTGTCTCAATGGCTTTGTGAATTTAGCTTCGTCTCGTTGGCTTTGTGTATTTAGCTTTCTCTCAATGGCTTTGTGTATTTAGCTTCGTCTCGTTGACTTTGTGTATTTAGCTTTGTCTCAATGGCTTTGTGAATTTAGCTTTGTCTCAATGGCTTTGTGTATTTAGCTTTGTCTCAATGGCTTTGTGTATTCAGTTTAGTTTATACCTAAAGGATTTGGCTTTGTCTCGTTGGCTTTGTGTATTTAGCTTTCTCTCAATGGCTTTGCGTATTTAGCTTTGTCTCAATGGCTTTGTGTATTTAGCTTTGTCTCGTTGGCTTTGTGTATTTAGCTTTGTCTCAATGGCCCTGATTATTCAGGTTAGTTTATATTTAATAGATGATTTAGCTATATTTCATTGGCTTTATGTATTCAGTTTATATTTGTTTGAGGGATTTAGTTTTGTCTTATTGGTTTTTTATATTCAGTTTCGTTTATACCTTACTTAATACTTGGTATTGGCTTTGTGTAAACAGTTTATATTCAGTTTAATGTATAACGTATTAAGGATTTGGCTATGTAATACCTGGTGCTGACTATTATTGATTAGTTGTAGTACAAATTCTAAGTAAGTATCCTGTTGATGACCTTCCTAATTCGACCTTTGACGCATTCATCCTTTAAACTGTTGACACTGTAAAACATTGTCTCGTTTTCTACTTGTCTACTAAGGACACATTTAACGATGGATTTTAACGCCCTTTATCACCATAGAGTGATAAAGACGTTTCTACTAAATTTTTATTATTTACGGAAAAAAGAGCCAAACAAATGAAATCTTATTAACAACCATCGATATATTTCTTTGGGAGATAAGTTATTTCCTGACCGATAAAGACATTAAAAGACCATTTTGAGGTGAAATGGTCGACCAACTCGTAAATCTGTTTCCACCCTCATTTGAAAGGTATTTAAACTTGTAACCGGCGCATATAAAGTTAAATTAACATCTTTGTGTTTCTAGACTAAAGTCATGTTATACAAAGTTCACCAAGAACGTTCTCTTACATGGCTACAGATGATACACAGCAGTTCGAAAGTATAAAACAATAGTGAAACAATAACCAAAATCTGAATAATGCATTCTCAGATGCATGATATGTAATGTACTTGCTGCTGACAATTTATTATATATAAAGAATAATGCTCTCGAAAAGACAACTGGGAGAACCGTGAAAATTTCATAAACAAAAGGAAAATCAACATGAGCCCTCCCCCCCCCCCCCCCCCCCCACCCAAATAATTCACAAGACACAGTCAACATATATTAACCGATAGCACGACAGTTAGAGGACATCGTTCTATGTATAAATCATGTGTTTGCAGTTTGTGGAACCGAAAACGCGATTGGAAGTTGTATAACAGAGATTATGCCACATGACACCGCAATAAAATCCCTGACTTTTATCTCACGTTTTCCCCTGTAACTCATATTAAAATTTGAAAGTCTTTGCAGTATACATTTTGTTTGACAGGGACCAGTTCATTATACTTTCTATATAATCATATTTTGTATCGTTTATAAAATCGAACCACTCTGACTCTGCTGTGTTATGTGTTTAGACATCAGTGATCACTTAAACATTACAATCAAAACACTTTCTCTCTGTAAATAATACTATCACAAATATTTCATAAAGAACACATTAATGTAATAACGCCAGTGCAGACAAAGGAATTTGTCAAATTTTCAGGTCAATGCGACCTCATTTCAAGACGAAAACATTAATAATTGCATATCACAACATATAAACAGGAGGCACAATGGGTCTGCATCGCTCACCTGGTACACATCTCAAACTTGTAATCTTAAAATAGATTTAAAATAAAGCTATAGGCAAAATATCAGTATTCAGGATTAAAAGGGATTTACCAGAACCTGTTAAAAGATTTAAAAACATTTCACCATGTGACCTTGAAAGTCAAACAAGGTCATTATGTTGAACAAATTGTATAGCCCTTAATCTCAGGATGCAACTTGATAATATCACCACCCTATCCTTGTTTATTGAAATTAGATCATTTACATGTTTAAACAAATTTGACCCCTACGACCTTGAATATGGATGATGGTCATTTATTTGAACAAATTTGGTAGCTCTTCATCCCAGCATGCTACTGGCCAAATATTATATCCTAGGCATTTTGGTTATTCAGAAGAAGTTGTTGCATAAAGTTTTTAACGCATTTGACCCCTGTGACCTTGAATATGGGCGAAGGTCATTCATTTGGACAAACTTGATAGTCCTTCATCTCAGCATGCTACTTGCCATATTCCAAAGAGGTTGTTTAAAGGATTTTACATATTTGACCCCTGCAACTTTGAATATGGGTGAAGGTAATTTATTTAAACAAACTTGGTAGCCCTTCACCCCAGCATGCTACTAGCCAAATATTATCTCCCTGTGCATTTTGGTTATTTAGAAGAAGTTGTTGAAAGTTTTTAACGTATTTGACCCCTGTGACCTTGAATATGGGCGAACGTCATTCATTTGGACAAACTTGGTAGCCCTTCATCTCAGCATGCTACTTACCAAATAGCATCACCCTGGGCATTTTGGTTATTCCAAAGAGATTGTTTAAAAGTTTTAACATATTTGACCCCTGCAACTTTGAATATGGGTGAAGGTAATTTATTTAAACAAACTTTGTAGCCCTTCACCCCAGCATGCTACTAGCCAAATATTACATCCCTGTGCATTTTGGTTATTGAGAAGAAGTTGTTTAAAGTTTTTGACCCCTGTGACCTTGAATATGGGTGAAGGTCATTCATTTGGACAAACTTGGTAGCCCTTCTCCCCGGCATGCTACTAGCCAAAAATTATCCCCCTGGGCATTTTGGTTATTCCAAAGAGATTGTTTAAAGGTTTTAACATATTTGACCCCTGTGACCTTGAATATGGGTGAAGGTCATTCATTTGGACAAACTTGGTAGCCCTTCAGCTCAGCATGCTACTGGCCAAATAGCATCACCCTGGGCATTTTGGTTATTCCAAAGAGATTGTTTAAAGATTTTAACATATTTGACCCCGGCAACTTTGAATATGGGTGAAGGTCATTCATTTGGACAAACTTGGTAGCCCTTCACCCCGGCATGCTACTAGCCAAATATTATCTCCCTGGGCATTTTGGTTTTTTAGAAGATGTTGTTTGAAGTTTTTTAAAAACGTATCCAATGAACAATTGTTTGTTCGGATTCGCAGCTTATATTGGATTATGCTGTCTTCATTACTTATGAGACCTATACACCATAGGACTAACGTAAGGAGGGTGAAATGAAATTCAAAGTCGACACAGATAAGCTTAGATGAGTCAAGGGATATACCAAAACAAACAGTGAAAATCATAAAAAGAACTTGTACTGTAATAGAAATATCATAAACTTAAAAATATATTTGTACTCTGGGGAGTATTCCGGAAAAGTTTCCTAAACATTACAAAACTTTAACATATAAACCTGACATAATACAACAGAAAAATCCTTGTACTCTGGAAAATATATCAACCTTACAAACTATAAAAGTGAAGAGATTTCACTCCGACAAATATCATAAACTTACAAACCGAAACAGTTAAACCTTTCTACTCTGGAAAGATATAATAAACCTTTCAATTACAAGGAGCAAAACTCTGTAATCTGAAAAATATCATAAACCTTATTAACCACAACAGGTAAAAACCTTGTATCCCCAAAATTACACTAATCCTAACAAACTACTACGGCCGAAGCCCTTGTATGCAGGATACAAAACATTAACCTTACAAAAACAAGACATTCGAACTCAAAATAGATAAAGAAAAGGGCAAAATATGAAGGAATGAAAGATGAACATGGAGAAAGAAAAATTATACCAGGTGATCCGGAAGGGTGAGTGTCTTCTGCTTCATCGTCGACACCGGCCATGTTAGTCTCAGTCAAATCCAAGTCAAGTTACTTTCTCGCATCGAAAACTCAGGAAGTGACAACAAAAATACAAGAACTGATTATAAAATGTCTTAATAACTTCAATTTGGTCAACAAATTTTGCCAATTGTTGGATAAGCTACTTCAAATTCCTAAACATGCGTTTAAACTCAAATCTACCATAGGCATCTTGGTTATTTATTCGACCACTTTGAAAGTGGTGGCCCACTGTCCAATGTCATTGAAATAAAAAACAAGAGGCCCATGGGCCTTAACGGTCACCTGATATATTTATACAGAGAGTTGATATTGTTTTTAACATGAACAGAAATATTATTCAAAGTGACAAAAAACAATAAAACCACCTTACTCAATATCTAGCATACAGATTTCAGACTAAAAAGGATTTGAAACTAGCACCTCTGATTCTTAACAAGGAAAATGAAGAAATTTTAGCACACTGACTCCTTTGAGCCCCACCCTACAGCCCTTGGGGGTAGGGCTGGCTCAAAATTTTCAAAGTATCAAACTGTCAATTCAAGGTTATAATTCCAATCAAGTTATTAACATGTAATATTCAAAGTATCATTTG